AATGAAGGGTGTCTTAAAGAGATTGTCCTTGATTAAAAGGCTATAATAATAATAATAATAATAATAATAATAATAATAATAATAATAATAATAATAATAATAATAATAATAATAATAATAATAATAATAATAATTGTACATATATCATGAAATAATAATAATAATAATAATAATAATAATCTATAAACATCATGAAATAATAATAATAATAATAATAATAATAATAATAGAGAGAGAGAGAGAGAGAGAGAGAGAGAGAGAGAGAGAGAGAGAGAGAGAGAGAGAGAGAGAGAGAGAGAGAGAGAGAGAGAGAGAGAGAGGCCTTGATCAACATTCTACAGACCATATAAATGTACCATCATTATTAAGTTTTCGGTTTTCGTGATTTGTATGCGTTTATATGTGAACTTGTGTGCGTGAGATCTGCAACACCCTATAATTTTCACACCTGGTAGAAATTACTAGAAGAGAACACATAAGAACTTTAATACTTTATAAGCAGAACGAACGTCTCTACATTCCTTTCCACCTAATGATCCCTCTTAGAAGTTCAGCAAGTTCAGTTCCTACACTGCGTTACTCTTCTACTTAAACAAAACTTCAACCTAAGTCAGGCACAGAAGGACATACAAGAAGGATTATAATTTTTGAATGTAACAAATTTATCAACAGAATACCTTTCTTTGTCCCCTTTATCGCACCTTAATTACAATTCTAAAAGAGTTAAAATCTCTACGACCATGTATCATACACATCATCACCGATAACTACTTTTTAAGTTCAACAACGACCACCTTTACTAGTGTAATAATTCTTGACGTTTTACTAAAGAAAAGAAAGAAATAAAGTATGTTACCATTGTAGTCATTTGTGGCAAGGAGACATTAACATTACGCTACTCTATTATGAGTTTCTGAAGAAAGTGGTAATTTTCTTTTTGACAAATGGGCATAGGAGCTAATGTAAATCAGTCTATATGAAACTCAATGCCAAATAAGTTCAGAAATTGTAACAATTCTAAATGTAACAGTTCTTACTGGAAACCACTTGCATTTTGCATAAAAGTAGCATATTCAGAGATACGTGTCTAAAACCGATATTACTCCTAAATCTTAGTGAATAAACGTAGGTGTTATATTTCTTACCTTGCCTGTGACCATTGTTTCGCTGAGGCATGTATCACTAAATTACATTGCTATGGTTTAGGCAGCATGCATTGTCAACAATTTTGATTTTTCCCAAGGCGTGTGTCGACAAAAATTATTTTAACAAATATTGCCTCATTCATCTATGAGCTTGAGTTTGGCTTTAAATTAAAGACGTGAAGTGGGACATATTACATCCAGATACCAGTTTAAGACTCATTTTAACATTTGTCTCTGTGGTTGGTTTTGACAAGGGCAAATATTAGACTGAGTTTCACTCCAAGCTATAAATGAAGGCTTGAATTTTGAAATTAAATATAGCTTTTACATTTCATGATATCAGAAGGAAGAGACACAAAAAGGGTGGATAGTATACATGTATGATAATGACGAGAGAAGGTCTTGGATTCTAAATTATTTATTCTACGAAGAATCGAATCATAACACTTAACGTTTATGGCGTGTATTACGTTTGAATGCAATCACGTTTCAAACCGCACACCGAAGTATTTTGTCTTTATATTGTGCGTTACTACATGGTCTCTTATGATTCCTTATTCAAGAAAATATGCACCGTATAGCTACACATCGTAGGAATCCAATCTAAGTAACATTGTATTACTAAAATGAGAGAAAACTTTATTCTTTCTCACAAAGATGACGATAATGTGGTCTAAGGGAAGTAACCACATAAAACAAAACCTCTAAAGCCCACCGGCCTGAAGCCGCAACGTGTGTGGATTTACTGAAGAATGTACATAACAGAGCGATGCTCATTGGCCTAAACAACAGATGTAAGGAAAGGATGTCCTTCTTAGCTGAACCTAACCAGAACATTTAAGTTTAACGAGTAATCAAAAGGAATTAACGTATGGAACTTGTACAGAATATGACTGGTCCCTGGATTTATCACCAAGGATGATCAATGTTTACAATATTAGTACAAATACTAATGATATATAATCATCACGAGTTAAAAATGTACACAAAATCGAATTATGTTTAGCCACAAATAATACAATCATAAATATTTGAGAATTTTAATGCGTGTTCTACGGAGATTCGAATGTACGTATGTATGTATGTATTATATATATATATATATATATATATATATATATATATATATATATATATATATATATATATATATATATATATATATATATATATATATAATTGATTTTCACTCATAGTGATACTGAACTGTTGCTAAATAATGGAACGTGTGCAACTCGATGCTATAGGAATTTCCGGTTCCATGGCTTTTGTCAAATAGTCAAGGAGCCAACACGTATGGTCTGCCCCTTCCCAGTCTGCATAATTGTCCCGAAGAGCCTCCATAGGGGGCCCCGAGTGGCCGAGTGGTCTAAAGCGCTGTCCGTTACGGATCACTGCCATCTCACCTCTGTCTGCGTGTGTTCGAGTCTAGGATTCGGCTAATGTAGATATGTGAGAAAGCTTGCCAGTAGCTTCTCGTGGGTCGGTGGTTCTTTCCGGTGATTTCCCGGTTTCTTCCTCCACCATTAATAATGGCCGCCATGAATAGCCTATCGTGTGCTGAAAAATGGCGTTAAGCCCAACAACAAACAAACAAACAAACAAAGAGCCTCCATAGTCCCTGCAAACCGGTTGAACGTAAAAAGGCTTTGCTCCTTAAATGCCAAAACCGTCACACGAAGCAACGTTACTATCGACAATAGTGTAAGGGTTTTCATGAAATCCTCAAGAGTTCTACGAATTACCCATCCAAAATCATTGAAAAATATAATTACTATAATCGCTTAGTACACGAAACAAAGTTAAGTACGAATGTACTGATATCTATTGAGCATGCGTGCTTATAATTGTGCTCAAATAATATTATCAGAATTAATTGCACAAGAATATTATAATAACCAGGTTCATACATGAATCAGTACCGGAAAAGTGCAATCTCAGTAAGTTATAAGAGCTCGTACATTATTCATTTTGGAATATATGCAACGTACAATTACTTTCAATTTGTGAAGTTACAAAAACCCGCTATATTGTAACAAATTGCAGTATATATGAAAGTATTGCGTTATTTTGAACAGATCTGACTCTCAGTCAAATTTCGAATGAATAATCGCCCGTCAAATATATCAAACAATTTTATTACATATCAAGGATTAAGGAAAAAAGAATATGATTTTATATTTCATAAAATTTGATATCTCCAGCCTAATATCGTAAGGGTTATTGATGCATGTATTTTTCAACACACACTCATTGCTTGATTTGTTTGATCAGAGCCAGTCGTAGGATATGTTTAACTTACAAGATTAATGTCTCTTTCTGAAGTCGTTCTTAAAGCCCCAATGTCAGCGCTTTTCCTTCCAATCTAATTAAAGTTTGGAATGAAGGAGGTGATGTGATAGGAAAATCTATTTGACATTAACCATTCTTTGAAATATGCAAGACGTTAGGCCCAAATGATGTTTAAATTTTATGTTTAAAATTATGAGGTGTCACTTCTTAATTCAGTTGCTGACGTATCTGTAAATTCCGTTCTTTTCTGGGAATGCTCTCATGGTAGTGACAGCATACATTCGACAGCCACTGGTGACTATCCTAACGCTGTGTATATTTAATTTACATTGTTTGTAAGGTTTTTGTTTATTATATATGAGGGTTATGTAAAATTGTGTCTCATAGCTGACATTCTCCTAATTCAAATTCATTGTCTACTTACCAGAATCGTTGATTTTTAAATTCTGTTAAAAACTAATATATTTTATATTGCTCCGTAAGTGTATGCTAAATATTAAGATTATTATCTTAGTCAAGGACATTACTTGTATAATTTTCTTTCGTATAATTTTAGTAACATGCCTTCTAACAAATTGTTATAGAAATAAACTTTTGGGCCTCATCCGTTTTATTTTTTTGTCCTAGTTTTGTATATATTGTTGTTTGCTGGAAAAATATTTATTCGTGATTTAAAAGCTTGAATCTGAACTCTTTTCATTGTTTACATTGGGCTGGAATTTATTCATTCAAATTATTTATTCCCTTGAAATACAAAGTGCTCATTTATAATAATCTTGGACGGAAATATTAACTTGGAATTATAGTGAATTCAAACAAGGATTTTTTTCGATTGCATTATTGTGATTCGTCATAAGACTGTTGGCATTTTCTTATAATTCAGGCTATCGGTACATTGGTACAATAGCCTCTGCAGGCCACAATTGGTATATCAACAAATTCAGCGTTATAAATTACTTGAAATAACACCAAAGCTTATTCAGAACATTTTTATTCGATCTTACGTTAGAAATTCTAGGAGTACATAGGATTCAGGCTGCAATAAAATTACGTTGTTGTTACATTTTCACTTTGCATTTGAGGGAGAAGGTTATTTGTTGAAATTTACATAACTTGTTTGCTTATGCAGAGGTCGCAATAAAGTTATGTTCTTACATTTTCACTTTGTGTTTAAGGGTGAAAGCTTTTTGTTGAAATTTAAAAAAACTTGTTTACTTATGCACATTTCTATTAAGACCGTAGATTAATAATACTAATAACAACAACATTCGTACGTGGCGGGCAATTGATTCGAGAAGGAAAGAAGAGAGGCTGGCTCACTTTTTCACTTTTTAAAGTATCAGATGAGATAAGTTTGTACAATATAGCATAAACAACAATATTTCAGTCATATCACTACGATGTCTGCAATGTGGCAGTTTATAATGATGTCCAGCACTGGGGCAAGACGTCGCAGACTTGTAGCATGAAGTCCAACTCAGTCACATTATACTGTCACCAGACTGACAGTACTAACCTCTTAATGCTGAGTGCAAAGCGAGGCAGCTGTTGGTACCATTTTTATGATTCGGCCGGGGTTCGAACCCGCGACCTCCCGCATCCGAGGCGGAAGTTCTAACCAATAGGCCACCGAATAGATCAATGTTTGGATAAAAGTAATTTAGAATAATATCACTTAATGATCACCTGCTGTATCCAGCATAGTCTGATGCTGGTTTCTTATGACGTTATCAAATATTGTATTTTACAACGATAACGTTATCAAATCGTGTTCCAGCGTTTCTCAGGTCGAAGAAGAAAGGACGGCTCATTGACGAATGGTTGATACGATCTAGTTTTAATGGCATCCAATGACGTCTAAGACCAATATTTTTCAATATTTTGTATTATTCAGTTCATATGGCATACAAATGTTTTGCGCAATACGGCGGCATTGGGGTTCTAAAGATAAGTGTTTCAAGACAGAATCATACCTGGATTGGTTGGACAGAGCCTGTTGTAACATAATTTGCTTTTCATGCTTTTTGTTTGTCATGAAATCATCCCTAAAGGTTATTGGTGCATGCATTTTTCACCACCCAATTAATACTCGGTTTGGTTTTGCAGAGCTCGCTGTAACTTTCCTTTAATGACTTTCTGTTTATGAGGAAGACATCCATAAAGTTTACTGGATATGTTTTTTCGGCTCACAATCGATACCTGGTTTATTTGGGCAAAGCTTACTGGCTTTGTTTCTTCATGAAGCTGTCCGTAAAGCGGACAACTTCAGACGAAACTCGTTGTTGCGATAAAACAATGACGGTATACTTCACACGTACCATGGTTATGGTGACATCTACAACCTGACACAGCTTAAGGTAATCGGGTTTCTCACTGGGTGGAGGTTTACTCGTGCAGCAATGGGTAAGCCGAAAAAAGGTATTTTGAAATAGCTAAAAGCGAAAATAAATCACCTTAGGTAACGATAAATGTGGTGACCAAATCAGAGCACATTTCCGTTAATATATAAAGCCTTTACATTAAGTACGCCAAATTCTAAGATACCTTGTAAGTCGTGTTTGGTACGTTTCAACATATTCACCTACACGGGGTTAACGGTAGACAGGTAGTCTAAAGAGCTCGCATTTATCCGTCAATGCCATCTCGCCTCTGCTCGCGTTGTTTAGTGCCGCGGGCTTGCCCACTGTGTGTATATGAGAAATCTTGCCAACGGCTTTCTGGGTGTCGGTGGTTCTTACCTGATATTTCCCAGGTTCATCCTTCATCAGCTACACTGGCCTCCATGAATAGCCTATCTTGCACTGTAAAATGCGTAAAATCTAAAAAAATAACTTTCCTATATAGGCATGCTGTAGCCTCCTTTATATCCACTAATGAAACGTAACATTCATATAATGGTAATCCTTTTGAAGAAAATCCTACCCACCCCACAAATTAAACTTTTTATCATGATCTGTTTAACATTTTCTTCTGCCCCTCCCCCCGACGTTTAAATGTCGTTGACTAACAAAATATCCCATTTTAAATTTCAGAAAACGTTACCTTCTGATTTTCCAAAGCTTACACGATTCGAACCTTTTAACGAAATGATAGCTTTTGATTCCCCAAAAATGTTGTCATAAAAATATATGTTCCGAATTGCGTGGTTGATATAAAAAAATCTTTTCTTTGTTAGTGCACACGTAGCATTTTGTGATTTGTCTAAAGTCTGAGCCTCAGATAAAGCTTCTCAATGAACCTGATTTACATGCGGTTAATTTGGTATAACACCCTGTAAGTAAATCTGCTAAATAGCATCCTATTCCGTCTTTGTGATAGCTGACAAGGTAGAAGTACTTCCTTAAATCTAGCCTCAGGTAAAGCTTCTAAATGAACCTGATTTACATGCGGTTAATTTGGTATAACACCCTGTAAGTAAATCTGCTAAATAGCATCATATTCAGTCTTTGTGATAGCTGACAAGGTAGTAGTACTTCCTTAAATCTAGATTTAAAAAGAAATTTTGTAACGAACAAAAGACCAATATTAAAGGTGTACATATCTACAAATATCTGAGATATTGAAAGTCGGAGTGTAGGTTCGGCTACTTGATTTTAAAAATGTACATTATAAGGAATTTAAAGGTGATAAAAATAAACAACCCCCCCAAACAAGAAAAAAAAAAACAAAACAGTTAATAGCATTTGACCCTCCCCCAACACAAAAAAACACACATAAAGTAATAAACCGACAGTTTTGCTAGTGAAAGAGCAATGCTATCCCTCACAACTTTATTCGTCCAAAACTGCTGTTGTAATTGCAATGCTTTTATTAACGTTCTGTATGCAGTCATCATGTACAAAGGATGTACAGAAGAAAAGCCTCCCCATGACCTCTGGTGGACTTGGCATTTAATAATAAATATATTAATGTGTGATATGATCATGATTTTTAACGTAGCGTTTACAATTATAATAATTACAATAATATTAGTACTAAAGTACCCGGATGCCTAGATGCATTAATGCATATGTGGGGTTTCATGAAAGACATTATCACAGTGCTACTGCAGTGGACAACAAATTGTATTGAAACTGTGCATGACAGTGATGAAGTTTTACGGCTCAATAATTAAATATTTTTTTTTAAAATCAACTTTTCTCATTCTTTCTCATATAGGCAGACAAGTGTTGGACACATTTTAGTTCACGCATACTGCATCAAAGGTCTCATTATCGCTTTGGTAGGTGTGTACAATTGCTGCAAAGACATCTCTGAATAAAAGCTGAAAAAATATTTTTTTTTAATTTTAAAAAATACTGAAGTACCCACACACACCCTAAAATGCCTTATACAAGTTAGCGGCGGAGGGTTGATTATATGCATTAATAATCAAAGAAACAAACGAACATAATGAGAGAGAGAGAGAGAGAGAGAGAGAGAGAGAGAGAGAGAGAGAGAGAGAGAGAGAGAGAGAGAGAGAGAGAGAGAGATTATATATTATATTGGTAGACCAATATACATTGTCCGTTATCCTAAAACCTATTATTTACATCTTTCCATCAAGATACATCATTTACATTTCCCGTTGATCGGGAACCAACATTTTTAACTGTTACCAACATTTATCATTTTATATTTAACTAATATGGATTTTTTACTATATCGATGGTCGATATTGAACCTTTCTTTTTACATATATGATCTACTGTATGGCGCTAAATAGCCTAAAAGTGCTGGTGCGCCGTTAAAATTAAATCAATCAATCAAGCAACCTAAAACCTTGATGTAGATAACTAGATAAGTAAGAAAGAAAGAAAAAAAAAACTGAAAAAAACTCGCACTTTATCAGCAGGTAACATTACTAAATCACGTGTCATATATGGGCTGACAAAATGGCGAGCAGTAGTGACCAGTTGTCGATAAATTTAGATGACAGGATTAGAGATTTGAAGGGAATGGATCATAATTCAGTAGTGAAAAACATAAAAGAGATTAAAGATAATACTTTTAACTATGAAGCAGATCCACAAAGTGTACACGCACTACTAGGCCCGAGGGTGCTTAGGCCAGAAGTAGGTGAAGTGAAACGGGAAGTTGTTGAACTAGGAAACCGTGTACATGAGGGGCAAACCAATGCATTGAACGTGAAAGGCGAAGAGATTGATAATGAGGAATATAATTTCCGATTTGCTGAGAGTGAGAGTGACACTGACGAGCATTTTAAATCGAGCGTGGCTGTGCCACCTCGTCTAGTCTTTCTGGAGTCGTCTGACAGCGATTTGGATGGAGATTTCGATATTACAAACGCTAGCTTAAATATAATGTCCAAATCTAGAAAGTCGCCTATACCAGACAGCCGTGGGAACATAAATCTGCCTTCCCTAGAGGTCGCTAGGGACTGCACACTAGTCAGCGAGATTACGTTCGGATCTGAGACACGTAACAGCTTACATTCATCTTTATCGAACAATTCTGTTGCATCTTCGGATTCAGAGTTATTGAGAGACTTGGATGATTACATGAATGCAACCACAGAGATGAGGAATCAGTTGAGTGCTGATATGAGTAATATGGTGGTTCATGCAAGAGGGGAGGGACAGCCAGAGAGCCCGTGGCACTGTCATGACACGCAGTTCAAGGTTCCTCCGGATAGAGTCGCAAGGAATCAGCTGATTGCAGTGTCACTGTTTTGTTTTCTGTTTATGATAGGAGAAATAATAGGTAACAATTATTTTTCTATATTTATGAAAACATTTGCTCAAAATAATGTACACAAGAGTTACTCTTAGTCATACACCCTGGTTTGCTGATTGTAAGTAAGTTTTCACATGGTGCCACTATGAGATAATTGGAGTGGGGTATGCATTTTTGGCTCCCAGAGATACCCGAGAGGGGCCACACGATTTACAGAAATTGCAATAAAAAGTGACATTTAATTTTATTCTTTAACCAGCTTTTTGTAGTGGGAATGCGGATATGGTAATGAAATGTAATTGATATAGAGCTATGATCTTTCTGTCACAGTTGGTGGGTGGGTGGGAACATATAAAAATAAAAAGTGAGTGGCTTTGCCATTTAAGTAGTTCCTGTTGAATTCGCAATAATACTTTGCCTCATTCGTATTTTTAGTGGTGCATTACTTGGAACTTACTTGCAGGATATATATATATATATATATATATATATATATATATATATATATATATATATATATATATATATATATATAAGTACGCTGTATCAATGATATACCATATGTATAAATTTTTCATTAAAAATGAAGCTTGCTGAGTTTTCTTTTAATGAAAAATTTATACAAGTGGTATATCATTAAATTAGCATACATACTGTACATATATTCTATTTATATCACATACAAATACATATATTTGCCCATTGAATGGAGTTCAGATTTACTACTGGTAACTGTGTATTGACTGAGTGAATGACTCCTCACATCCCCAAATGTATCCACTACAAAATGTAGCTCTTAAGTCTTTTGTGGCTATTCACAATCACCTTTGCATATTTATAAGTTAATTGTTTTCTTTTTTAGTTTCTATTTTTCTTCACATTGATTAAATCAATATAAGATATACTTATGCTATAAACTAAACATGAAAGATGGGTTTAATGATAAAAGTAGAGCACTGC